GGAGGCCACGTGTAAGTTTAGGAGAAGGCCCAACATGAAACTTGTTCACGTTTCCGCTTTCAACAGATTTTCACGCGTCGCCTACACAACGTCAGCAGTTGTGACAGTTTTACGGCGGGAATTCAGATTCCTTATAGCTTTCTTTGTTGCTTGGGTCAATGTCCAAACCATCGCTTATTTTTCGTTCTTTTTACTATCCTCATGAAGCAAGGGGGCCAAGGTGTCAACTTCTGGTGGAGATCGAGGCACGGCTTTTCCCTAATGAATCCTTTAGCTCGTGGTTCGTTGCCGATATCAGCTCATCGCTACCGCTCATCACGTTAAACGTGCTCACGAGTGCTGATAAGCTGTGGTAACCACGTCGATGAAAAGCCGAATTACAGTCGAGATCTCGAAGTCTGATTGGGCGTGTCACCGGAAATGACGTGGCAGCCACCGCACTTGATAGAAGTTGCGCGGATAAGCTGCTTCCAACACGCTTTGCTGATATCTGGCGGAGTATTTTATCCACACAACATCTATCAAGTGCGGTGGCTGCCACGTCATTTCCGGTGACACGCCCAATCAGACTTCGAGATATCGACTGTATGTGCGTGCACTTGCCGGTGAGCGAAATTGCAGGCTCGAATGAAAGTTTTTTTTATTCATAACCCAGCAATTCGTGTGGACTGTTGGCAGTACCCAAGGAATAACTGGTGAGCTAATACGCAAAAAAACAATGCTTCACACACCACTTGGCTTCCTACTTCAATTGACGATGGAGCTGTGGTGATGGGCTTTGAAGAACGAAATCGTGACATTAACTGGTCTCGCGGCTGTAAAGATTAAGGAAGTGATGAAAGTCGGAAATGCTAAACGAGAGCTACAATGATTGGATACATGCCAAAGATGCTTCCCACGGAATAACTGGTGACCGGTCATTCTAAATTCTTCAACTCAGACACAAACTGTCTAATTTAAATAATTCCATTGTTCATATTTTTGACAATTATGACAGCGCGTCGGTTTGCGACGAAGGAACGACGACGACGCAAAGAGATTTCTCAGAAATTTTGGGACGCTAGCTTGACACCCTCTTCGCCTTTTGAATGAACTTTCTTTAGTTACGATGGCGTCCTTGAACGGCAACACCAATGTGTATACAGCCTCCACACTACCGTGGCAGGTCACGTTTGCCCAGTCGATTACTGTCCAGTGATATTAGAGGAGAGGCATATGATAAGAACAAGACTAGCTCCGCACTCATCCGCGCGCATGAAGCGGAAGACTCGGGTAGAACTGGACAGCAGATAAAGCTTCTGATCTTCCTGCTGAACAATGTGCTTAGTAAAATGCGTTAGCTGTTCCGGCGTGCCGTTCCATATACTACATGGTTTGGATCTCTTGCTTCCAAGGGTGTTTTCCTACCTCCATCCACTGTCTGATGGGGGAGGGGCGCAATCCTCTTCTATGTTAAGCCATAAATGCTTTCTCAATTGGCCACTAGAGCCAAATCACCGAGCCTAAGGCTTCCTCTCTTGGCTTCTTAAGGTTGAAGCACTGACCCACGAAGTTTCCCTACTCTGTGCCATTAACGTGAAATTACTGAGCCACTGAGGCTCTGTTCACTGCGCCACGAACTGGAACCTAGGAAACCACTCCAACACCAAACTTGCGTCTGAACCCCTTTCATTAGGGTTTTTTGCGTGCATGATTGCCCTACTGCAAGGTGCTCTCCAGACTCCGGTCAACAAATAGTGTTCTCTCCTCTACCTACAGCTGATCTCTTGAAGCCGGCGTGTCCTTTGACAATAATACCTTTGTAGTTGTTGTTACTTATTCTACCTATCATGACATATTTTCGAGGGAAAATTCGTGGTATTCTTCTTCTTATTCTTTAGCGTTTGTCCCACCCTGTGGCGGGGTCCGCTTTTCTGGTATTACGACGCCACTTTTCCCGATTATGTGCCTGATCGGGATGAAGGCCAACTAATTTCAAGTCCTCATGCAACGTATCAAGCCATCGTTGCTTCGGGCGTCCTCTTGGCCGCTTTCCTGGCACGTTAAAGTCTAGACCGATCTTACGGACACTCTCATTATTAGCGCGAAGGACGTGGCCGTACCACCTCAGGCGAGCTTCGCGCATCTTATCAGCGATGGGAGCCACACCGAACCGTTTTCTGATGGCATCGTTGCGAATGTGGTCCAGACGCGTGACCCCGGCAGTCCAGCGGAGCATTTTTGTCTCCATCACACTAAGACGAGCCTCAACCTCTTTGGTCACGGGCCAGCACTCTGCTCCGTAAATGGCGACTGGTCGGACGACGGTTCTGTAGATCTTCGATTTCAGTCGCTCTGGTATTTTCTTATCGCAGAGAACGCCGGTCATCGAGCGCCATTTAGACCAAGCTGCGCTCACTCGGGAGTTTACTTCAGAGACCAGGCTACCATCGGACGCGATCGCCGACCCAAGATACTTGAATGATGTTGTACGCGTGAGCTCAGTGCCATTAATCTTAATAGAGCCTGGCTCACTCGAATCAGGTGGTCAAGTACTCTGTCTTCTTCACGTTCAACCTGAGGCCAAACATAGCCAGACGGTCGGACCAGGTTTGCACCTGTTGCTCGAGCAGATGTTTGTCTTCGCAGGCGAGCATCACGTCATCAGCATAAGAAGCGTCCATGGAGCGGGCTTCTGAAGATCACGCGAAATGGCATCCATAACGACAATGAATAGGAGTGGGGAAAGCGCAGAGCCTTGGTGCACACCGACCGAGATGGGAAATTCCATCGAAGTACCTGCCACCGTTTGCACCCGACTCCTTGAGTTCGAGTAAAGTATGCGCACCCACTCAATGAGCTCTTCGGGAACGTCGTGCTGCCGTAAGGCATACCATATAACTTCTCGAGGAACGCGATCAAAAGCCTTCTCCAGGTCCAGGAAGGCAAGATGCACAGCTTTTCTTTTCTCGCGATGTCTTTCCAGCAGAAGGCGGGCGGCGTGTATTGCATCGATGGTGCCGCAGCCTGACACAAATCCACACTGGTTGATGGAAAGCTGCACGATGTCACGAATACGGCCGTCCACAATTCGCTCAAAGATCTTCATGCTGTGCGAGAGCAGGCGGATTGGACGGTAGCTCGTACAGTCAGCAGGGCTGCCTTTCTTCTTCCAAATCGGAATCGTTGTGCTCTGTTGCCAGCTCTCAGGCACCTTTCTCTCTGCTACGATCTGGTTGAAAAACGTGGTCAACCATTCAGCAGGACACCAGCATTTCGACTTCCATATGTCGGCCGCCAGATCATCGGGTCCTGTAGCTTTTCCCGACTTCATCTTCTTCAGAGCCATTTCCGTTTCCTCCACGGTTATTCTCTGCACAGGACCTTGCACAGGTGGAACATAAGGGACTGCTGGATGAGCAAACTCTTCAGCTGAGATGTTCTCGAAGTAATCGTGCCATCGCTTCACTGCTTTTTTGCGGTCCGTCAGGAGGTGACCATTTTCGTCGTTGATGCCGAAAAACTTCTCGATATCCTCGGACTGGCGATGACGGGCTTTGGCGAGGCGATAAATATAGCGTTCACCATCGCGCGTCTCGAGCTTCTCGCTGACATCAGCAAAGTGTGGCAGCTTTTGCGGCAGCAACGGCCTTCTTTGTCGCACTCTTAGCTGCCTGATACCTTCGCCAGTTGTCGACAGTCTTATCGCCAAGAAATACGTGGTATAGCCTCTTCTTCTCACGTACTTTTTCTTTAACATCGTCCGTCCATAGCCACGCTTGCTTGTCGATCTTCCGTCGCCCAGGTTTTGTTGTGCCGAGTTCGGAACGGGCAGAACGGATTATCGCCTCGGCAGCACTTTTCCAAGTTTCATCAACAGTAGTGACTGCCGGCAACTGAATGTTGGATATCACGACCGTCTCCTTCTCTTTCAAACGCCACCACTTGATTCTCGCTGGTCCACACCGCTCGATGTTGTTTCATTTTCGGAGAAGCGATCTTCAGCGTGCAAATCAGCGGTCGATGTTGCGTGGTGACAGTCTCATACGGCACCGCCTTTGCGTCTGTTACAAGCCCTCGATCGTTTGCCTGACGAGGACAAAGTCGATTTGCGTTCTGGTAGTACCGCTGTAGAATGTGATGAGGTGGGAATCACGTTTCCGGAAATTCGTATTCACGATGGTGAGATCATGAGAATTCGCGTACTCAAGAATTCGTTCGCCATCGGTGTTACGTGACCCATATCCAAATCCACCATGACAGTTGTACCCATCTTTCGCATCGCCGACGTGACCGTTAAGGTCACCTGCAACGATGACAGCCTCTTCTGATGGTACCTCTGCGGTTTTTTCATCCAGCAGGGTCCAGAACTCATCTTTAGCTCGCTCAGAGCAGCCAGTCTGCGGAGCATATGCAGAGAAGAAGTGGTATCGCTTACGTTCGATGACGACAACAAGCTTCATTAGACGGTCGTCAAAGCGATCAACGCTTACGATCGAGTCACGGAAGCGGTCAGAAACAACAACTCCGACCCCACTGGTGGTTCTAGGACCGCCACAGAGAACGGCTTTGAAGCCGCGGCCAATGTCTCCTCGACTTGCAGCAGGACCACCTCGTTTCCTGCACGGCACAGAAATCAATTCTTCGGCGCTCTAGAGCTTCTGCTAACTCGTACGAGCGGCCCGTTAACGTGCCAACATTTAACGTCGCAACGCGAATCTTCCGTGCGTTGCAGGACTTTTGGACTAGCTTAGTTGCCCCCCGACGCCGTCCTTGCGTCGGAGACCCTCGCATACTTTTCACACTCGCCGGGCTTTGCGAGTGCGCGTCGGCTCCCGCGGACGCCGTAGCATTATCTCGGAAATCATATGACGTCATTAACCATGAAGATGTGACGTGGATATTCGTAGACCGGCCTGTCACGGGGGCCTGTCGCCTGCATTCGAATGTCCGCGATCAGCTCAGCCCACAAAAGTGAGCAGTTCCCAGTGGCACCACTTGGAGGAGCGGACCCCGCCAACACTCGGGGTATTGTCTTGCATTTATTCGTGAGGAGAATGCTATCCAATCATGATACGATTTTGTACTCTAGAATGATTTGCTGTTCACCGGATCTATTGAACATGATCACAGGCATACGATTTGTGGCCGAAACAAGAACTGTATTTTTATCCTTTGGTTGAGCAGAATCTGCAAAAGTGAAATTATCATTTGAGACTGTGATTCTGAAAATGAACTCACCTATAGCCAGTTCGCGTTTGGTCCCCACTGGACTTAATTTCAACACCCCCTAAAACGCAGCCGTCGTGATCATAGCCGTGTGCTTTTCACGACCCCTATCATAACAGACAAGGGCAGTGCTATTTCATTTACGTGCTTCATAACTTATTTCTGTAAGTTCCTGCTAATATAATGAAAGTAGATTTAGAATCAGCGTCTCAAAGTGTCCATCTCATTAAAAATGACCAGGCTGACCAACTGACATTAAATGAGACTGATCGGTTTCGGTGGAAGGTGCACCTATGGCAGCTTTGCGAATCGAGCGATTCGATACTACCGATTCACAAGGTCTGACAGCGGCCTATGAGTGGCCACTTTTAGAGTTTCCACCGAATTCTAATCCGGCTTCAAGAATGTGTCGAAGCAGTGCTAGTATGTCACAAAAACTCTTCTTGACATGCAGCAGCGGTCAAAAGTGTTCCTCGAAACGAGTTTCAGTGCATTATTTTTTCTTGCTTGAGCAACGTCCTCCAAAGATTGATATACTATGTTTTCTAGTGTTTTTATATCCTCTGGTCTCGAGGGAATTCACAGGATATTCGAAAGAAAAATTTTCTCTGAGGTCACCATTGACTTTTTCCGCAAAAAAAGAAACACGAGAACCGTTTCGGCAGAACCCTTTCGACCACTACTTAACCTTCAGAGAATTTCCTGCTC